TATGTGACCACTAGAACTAGGGCTGACTACTTGAGATGTACCCAAGCTAGATTTATCCTGGCATACGGCTGTCCCCTCCACTGCGTCACAACAGTTTTGCTGCTAGTAGATGATGTCATGAGCATGCTTAATGGGTGTTGTCAAGTCGTCCAGGTGCCTTTCACTGCTGCTTAGTGCATAAGCAAGCAGTGGTAACAGCATCAACTAGCCACATTTGCATTGTGTGCTACTGCTTGTATGTTTCTCTTTTCAGAGGTTATTCCCACTCTGAGCTCTATTGCATTTGTTGCAGCAAAAGAATTATCTGTAAAACATATTCTATCAGGCATATCCACAGGAGATGGTCTGAGGGGCTTTCTTTAACAACCATGTTCTAGCTTTCCAGTCCTCCACTTCAGCATAATAGGAGTGCCGAGGTAGCCCATGTCACCTGTGAAATCAGAAATCACCTCTCTAGACAGTTCCAGATGTCAGTTTAGATGTCTTGATGGCCACAGAAGCAGCAGGCTGCAAGACTGCCTCATGACATTTTTGCCATTGCTCTTCAGGAAGGGGTTAAAAGCAGCCATGATGCAACTTCTCATCACTGTGATAGTACAGATATTTTGGCTGTTTTCAAATATGTGCTTTAGTATGGCAGTGCTTGAAGTAGTTAAGCAAAGAGTTAATGCTAAGTCAGAGCCTGGATCTGATGAGGGGGTGGTGTGGAGGAATCTATTCCGTAATCTAGAGTCTCATGGCCCTTCTTCAAAGATTATTTCTTTCTAAAGCATTCCCTGACTATTGCCTTTGTTATCCAGGGCCAAAGCCTATGTGATTTCATTGATATTTCATAATGACCTGACTGACAGTGCTAGGAATCAGGCTTCTGCAGCCTGAGTACAGTAGGAGCTGCACAATAGTTTCTTTTCATTAATGAAAGAAGAAATCTCTTGTACTTATGACTGTTGTGTCTATTTTTGGAATACCTCCAACATAATCTGCATGCCCTAGCTGGGGTAGGAGGTACATTTATTCCTTGTACTATACTTAGAATTGCCTTGATAAGATTCTTTTCTTGATACTGTAAGTGAAATAAAAGAAATGTCATTAGTTTCCAGTCTGCTCAATTCTCTTTAAAGTTGTTGGCTACATCTCTTGTATGTGAATTCTCTGTTCTCTACTTTTATATTTCCCCATGGGAGTTTACTGTCACAGGGCGTGATGCCAGTTATGCTGCTTTCAGAGCTGGAGTGCTAGCAAATCAATGGAGCCTGACACCACTCACTCACAGCCTTTGCCACCAAATGTATCAGTGTTCTTCTGTTTTTAACATTCATACTTAAAGAAAAATGTTAGTGTTAGGAAATGCTGAGGTTGGATTCTTCAGGAATTTTAACGATGGGGCTGGTGATAGCAAGCAGAATCACAGCAGTACCTTATGTCTATTTTATTTGTCACTGCCTACTTTGGCACAGCTCTCAGTAGAACAGGCTGCTTTGCTGTTGTGCTGGAGGGATTTGCCAGATTGGTGAGGTGCAGGAGAGGGGACAAGGAGGTTGTGGTTTGTGCTTGCTTTTGAAATCCTGTCATCATCTGAGCTCCTGTTTCTAGAGATCTAGTGGCCAGTGAGGTTTTTTGGGGACAGTGTTGTCTTTCCCTGACTATTTCTTTCCATGTCTGAGCTGTTTATAAGCTATGTTCTGATTTTTCTGAAATTAGTAGCAACGGTTTGCTGTACTGCAAATCCAGTGACTGGCTTTAGTTGACCTGCCTTTACAATTGATGTGTCTCGGCTACAGGTGGATAGCACAGTTCCTCTGTTTCATGCATGAAGATATTATTTTATCTGGAGAAGAGTTTTTCTGATGTTATTTTAAGGGGGCATGGAGTTATGAAGAGTGAGAGGTTTATGTTTAAAATTAGTAATGTGTTGTTGCATCTAGACCCTAGTTTTTTGAGAAGCTCATACCTGTTAACAAATATGAACCAGATGCCTGTCTTAATACATCAGTCCTGTTGAGTGCCTACTTTTCTGCTTACTGGAGTAAATCATTTGAATGGGAAGGTAAAATCTTATTAAGGCTTCTTCATCATTGTTAATAACCGTGGCAAAGGATTTTTGAACAAGAATCAAGTCAATGGTAGTTTTACAAGGCCTGTCATCTACTCTTGGATTAGAATGGTTTTCTGTTATTTAGGTCTTCTAAGGCAATTTATATCAATAAGGCTTGAACATTGTCTGTGTACATAAGTTATTGTATGGAAGCTGAAAATAACAATATGAAAATATGGTCTGTGTTCACTTGTCATTGGGTTGGGAAACAAGCAATACAGAAGGTGACAACTGTATTCTGAGGGTGTATAGAGAAGCCTCTGTAACATGTTTTCTGGCCTGATTACATAGTTACAAAGCAAAAGCACTTTTTTTTCAAAATGCTCTGGATCCTTCAAGAAGGAGCAAACAATTTCCTCTTTCCCTTTTCTTGACTGTTACCATTGACAATAAAATCCTTATAATGAATAGCAGCTTTGGAAATGCTTGATTTTGGAATGAGGCCCCAAGTAATAAGCGTTTGGTAGCAAGGATCACCAGAATATGTTTTGCAGAGAAAAGGCATTCAGAATTTTTTTAGCCTAACTGTCAGTTTTCAGAGTGTTTTCATTATTTTTCTTTCTAGAAAGTTAAATTGTCAGTGTAAGCAAGCTTGTATAATAGGGCTATCCAGCCAGAGAACGCTATGCAAGTGGGGCTTTATGGAGTGCTGAACTCTCCTCCACACTGCATCTAGGTTTTTGCTTTCTGCTCTGGAGTTAAGAAGATTCATTCTCTGCATGGCTCTGCAGGATGACTCCAGATAGCAGACTACCTTTGAGATGTAGGGAGCCGAGACTTGGTCTGTGTAGAGGTTGGAGCTGCAGACCTGGCTCCTGATAGCTGCTCCAGTCATGTCTTCACATGTAATGGGGGGAAGGTGCTTGGCCTAACCTCTTTTCCTGCTGTGGCATCTCCTTTGCACATCCAGGAAATACAGTTATTCTCTGTTCACTCACACACACACATGCATTAGTGCTTATCCAAGCAGCAGTGACCTAAAGCTCTGAAAAAAAATTGCACAGAATATGAGATTTGCTTGTTAACAGCTCAAATGGAGTAGGGGGTATGTTGATAAGAAATTAGAAAATGAAACGAAGGGTGAACTGTATAAAGTATACTAGTCCAGTCTTAGCTCCTGGCCAGTGTTGGAGGTCGTTGCATCTCAGTAGATGATGAATCTGCCTCTACAAAATTGCAGTGTATTACTATATAAACAATTTGGTCCATCAGCTTGTTCAAATAATAGGGAGTTTCTGCAACGAAGGCAGCAGGTAGGTCCCTGCTGGGGTCTTACTGCATAAGCCAAAAATCAAAATTAAGCATACATTACTGCATAAGCCAAAAATCAAAATTAAGCATACAGCAGAAAGGAAAAGGGAAGCATGTCCCTACTCTATTTTTAATTCCTTAGAATGAGAGAGTTCCCTGGCCATCCTTTTTTTTTTTTTTTTTTTAATCATGAACCCTCTGTGAGAAATCATCCGCTTATTTCACCTGTAATTTCTCTGCTTTTATAGAAAGATAAGTTTGACCTGTTCACACACAATTACTAATGAAGGTGGCAAGCTCATTTCTTCTGTCCTTGCATAGTCAGAGTGAAGGACTCTAAAAATGCAATTTTTGATCAAAGATGGTCTGTTATACATTTTAATTGCATGATAGAATAACTATTACTGTAAAACCATTGCTTAAAACTTGAGGCTGAAGATGATCATGCTGTCTAGTCCTTAGAGGGGGAAGGACAGGTTAGGAAAAAAATAGCTTCTCCCTGCTAATAATTTTGGACTTATTCCTTTGGCTTTAGGTTTTAATGTAGACAGGGCATCTATTTTCATGGCAAACAACTTACAGTGCACAAGTCCATTCTGCTCATCCTCTTGCTTTGATATGTCTGACCCAATATTCCTCCAGAACAATGTTGCATATTACTTCCTGCCAGAAAGATGTTATGACAGGAATGCTGGACACTAGCAGCTGTCTCATAAATACCACAGGCATCTTAAGTTTCATCAAAAGAAAATTCTGTAGTTTGGTCTTAGAAAAACTTAATGGGACCCCAGCAGTAATATGTAAAGCCCATTCCTTTGGCCTCTAGAAGCCAATGATCTAATGATGGTTCAAGCTCTCTTCCATGCTGTTTGGGAAAACAGTGCTTGTTTTAAAGTCCTAGAGCAAGGGAAAAGTAAATATATTTGAAAGATAACATAATTTCTTTTTTCCTTACAGTTTCGATGACTTCTCTGCAGCTTTCCCCTGTATTTTTCACTTGTCAGAATACATTCTCAGACCTCTGATTACAGTAGGCCATTTAAAATTGCAGAAACAGCAGTTTTAAGCAAAAACAATGCCTGTGTTTTACTTCCTGTGACTATCAAAGCATTCCACTGAATCTTTTCAAGTCTTGATTTTTTTTTTTTCCTTTGTATCAGCAGTCTCATTCCTGGGGGCAGCTGCAGGGGAGGCAGCAAGGGAGAGGGGGGAGCCTTCTAATGTACTTTGTCCAGTTACCATTGTTATACAGTGTACTTAATAAAGTATTGGAGATTGCGCTTAGTTGAGATGGTAGAATGGTTTGATGCTGTTACTATGTACAAACATGACCTGTGTTTCTTTACAGTAACAGGACAGTTTGTCTGTTGCTGCTTTCCACTGATTCTAGCACTTGGGTTCTGCTTGACTCTTGACTCTCTACAACTATGAAGAGAGATGTATTTTCCCAGACTTTTGCAATATAAGGATGCAAATGTTCAAACGACAGTTAAATGTTGTTTAAAAAAGTTCTTCGCTCATACACAAGACAAGAATGGGTTTTTTTTTTAAATAACGTGTGTCCTGTCTGTACGTTGAAGGTTTGTGTTACTCAGTCACAGCTTTACAGTGCTTGCAATTGTTTTGCTTTTTTTTCTTTCTGCTCTCTCTGCAGTGCACATATATTGAGATTGAGCAGGTGCCGAAGACTCATGCTGTTGTGCTGAGCAGGCCCTCTTGGCTTTGGGGGGCAGAAATGGGAGCTAATGAGCATGGAGTCTGTGTAGCTAATGAAGCCGTGGTGACCAGAGAACCAGCTTCTGAATCTGAAGCCTTGCTTGGAATGGATCTTGTCAGGTGGGTGGCTTGCTGAGCTGTGACCAGCCTTTCAAACATCAAAGGTTTAGCTGATGATGATACCAGGTAACAGCTTTGTGTTGTTGGCATTAGGAGATTTTAAAACAATATAAGTGGGAGACCTCTCTAGGCAGAGCCCCGGATGCAGCTGAGTTAGTACTTAAAACACTTGGAATCTGAATTTGGCTACCAAGTATGTACCAGCCTATTGTGGGTTCACTAAGCCTACCTTGTCTACTTACCCTACAGTCTAGCAGTTGCTATTCTGACAGGATAAGAGAAATGATCACATTGTTAGTAAGGAACTGCCTAGTAATTTGTAACATCAGATTGCTGGTGTGCCCTTCATTCTCCCCCACTTTACAACAGCCTGCTCTGACCTAAAAAGCTTATCCTGGGCATGTAGCCAATTGTAGGCATAAACAAACTACTATGTCTTGCTTCAGCCCATGCATTCCAATGCAAACCATTGCCCTTATTTAAATTCTGGCAAACAAAACTCCTGTAAGTCTGTTCATTGAAGGCTGTCTGCCTGAAAGTGTAAGTCTCAACCTGCATGCTGATCTTGTAGTGAAGAGAATTTATGGGAGAGTTGTGTGGGGGAAGAAAGCTGAAGATGAGAGAACAAGAGAAAATGGTGCAAATGTATTACAAAGAGAAAGGGAGCAAATGGACTCAATTTAGTTAAAGATGGAGCAGAACACCAACTGCTTACTTAAGCAAATCAATGTTAGACCCAGTGTTCCTGCTGGCATTTCACCTTAGGATACTTAGTGAGCAGGCCAAACCAATCTCAGGCAAATTCTCATTTTTCTTGAGAACTAGTGAAAGATGGGAGAGTTTCTGGATGACTGGAAAATGTTAAATGTTGTGGCTATACTTAATAGAGTTAAAAAGAGTTGTGGTTATAGACCAGTTTAACCTCAGTTCCTGAAGGGGAAAAAACCTACTTAAATATCAAGGAGTTGCTAAATCTGTGATAATAACTGTTAGTCAAGAAAAATCCTGTCAAACCATTCTACTTCTGTAATGAGTTAAAAAAATTGTATGGATAGAAGGTAGGAAATGGATACCTTGACTTTTAAGAGTGTGTTAAAACCTTAGAGGGTATTCTCATAAGCAAGCTGGGAAGCATGGGTTAGAAGAAATTGTTGTTAGGTGTATAGCTGCCTAAAACTGCAGTGGTTCTTTAACAATGTCTCTGCAGAAATACAGTTATCTGGTTCCAGCTACCATAAATCAAGAAGAATATGAGCCAGTAGGAGAGAATGCATCAGAAATGGGAAATATGATCAGAGATCCATAGAATCTGACCAATGAGAAAATCATGAGGGAATTTGGGTTGTGTTTCTCTTCAGTATTTTCTCTAAACTCTGTATTACTGAAGGAATCTGTGGAGAAGCTGTACTTAGGAGGACTAGTGAGTTTAATTGCATCAAGGGAGACTGGATAGATTTGGGGGCTCTCTTAAGTAAATACAGGACAAGCTTTTGTCAAGAAAAGGGATACGTTAGGTGACTTTCCAAGCTCCATTTTTATTTTTTCCCTCCTACTACTATCCTTTTGAAACTTTAACAAACCATTGGTTTAATGCAGAGTTCTGTTTATTTTGGTCACAGTTCCTGCAGTCTCAAAATACTGTTTAACATTCATATTATATGTCATCCGGCAGCTCTAGATTTACCTGCAGTAGGAAATCAGGAGATATCAAAATAAGGAGAAACTGGTCATAAACTATGAGGGATCACCACCTGTAGATATTACCCTCCCTGTTTTCCTTCTTATCTGCAGAAGAAACTGTCTGTAGCTCAAACAGAGAGTGCTTCAGGCAAGGAGAACTAGAGATGTGTTCCAGACTACCATCTGCCTCTTATTCCAGCCAAAGAGATTCTTACTGTGAAGACTTGGCCAGTTGCATTAAGCTTACCTGTTATGGTTCACCTCATAGAATAGAGAGCCATCAAGTATGAAATCAATCATATAAGCTGTGACAAAGCAGCTGGCACTAGCTCTGCCTCTTTTTACCCATCTGTAGAACAGACTAATACTATTGCCTAGGATTTATTGGAATAAAATAAACTGGGATGTTTTAAAGCCTAATTAAGAAATGCACAACTCTGGCCAAATTTTTGTCACACCTATGTATATGTTTGACTCCCGCGTCTGAGTCAGATCTTAGCTGAAGGATGAAGACCGACACTCTCTCTGTGTGTGCATGTATGAATAGCTGCTTGCAAAAGAAACTGAAAACTTCATACCCTGAAACATGTTCTTCGGAGCAGGCATAAGAGTTGTCAACCCAACATATCATCCAGATAGTAGAATCAAATTTTCTTTGAATGCTCAGGCTCCCCTAAGAGTTTGTTTCTACATTCTTTTAAAGTGATTATTCTTTTTCTGTAGGGGAGACTACCTCTCTCTTTTGACCCATCTGGAATTGTCACTTTTCAGTTAGGATATAAAATCCAGCCAACATGGCAAAGGCTGAAGGTGGGTGTTGTGAGAGCACATGGCGTTAAACAGGCCAGAGGCATCCTTCAGCATGTTTTGTTGTTGAAATAGAAAATTGAAAATTCATCCTGCAACCTCATAAATAAAGCATTTTTTTAAATAAAGATCATGATGGACATCAGTAAAGATGTATTTGATGAAGTTTTTGGATGGTTTAGTAATTGGCTGCTGGTTTAATGACTGAAAACAGTGTGTTACATAGTATACTGCTGTATTTGAGGATTAAGACAGACACCTACATATTTGTAGCTTGATAGCTTGTCACAGCATGTCAGAACATATGAATAATTGTCGTGGTTTGAGCCCAGAGAGCAACTGAGCACCATGCATCCATTCATGCACCCCTTCCCCTCCAGTGCTGGGAAGGAAAAAATGAAGAAAAGGCTTGGGAATGGAGATAAAGACAGAGAGGGGTCATTTACCCATTATGGTTCTGGACAAAAGACAGACTTCATAGGAGAAGGAAAAAAAAAAAATCCACTTTAATTCAAACACTAACAACAATGACACTTAACAGAGTGGGCAAGTAAGAAGCACTGCCATACCTTAAAAGCACCTTTCCCCTCCACCCCTCCTTCTTCCTGGGCTCAGCTCTGCTCCTGATATCTCTACCTCCTTCTCCCAGGAGGGGGGAAAGTTATGGAGGGTACTCAGTCAGTCCGCTGCTCCTTATTCTTTGTGGGGACTCCTCTGCATCATTCCCCTGCTCCATGTGGTTCCCCTCTCACAGGAGACAGTCCTCCATGATCTGTCTCTGGCATGAGTTCTTCCACAGGCTGTGGTCGTTTCCATGCTGCTCCAGTGTTTGTGAGCCCTGTGAGATGCAGTCCTAGGGCTGAACTACAACAGTGGGGGCTGCTTCTTCCCAGAGTCCTGGCCTTGTTCAGTTGCAGCTGCCTGCTCCAGTGTGGGGTCCTCTGCAGGCTGATCTTTGCTTCTCTGGTGACACCCATGGGTGGCAGGGGGGCAGCCCTACTATCTTTCCCCAGGCTACAGGGCAGTCTCTTCTCTGGCACATCTCCCCCCCCCCTTCTCCTTCTTCCTTCCACTGACCTTGGTGTTCACATAGGTGTCCTTCTTGTAACTCTTCTTCAAAAGTCCCCCAACCCCCTCCCAGGTTCCCCTTGTTATCACAGAGGTGATAATTGCTAATTGGCTTGGCCTTGGCCAGAGGTGGGTCTGCCTTGGAGCCGGGGGAGCTTTCAAGAAGATTCTCACAGGGGCCACCGCTGTAGCCCCTTCACAGCTATCAAAAACCCCACCACACAAACCCTGCACAGTGATTCTTAAGAAATGAATAAAGGTTGTGTGATTGACTTGAGGGATAGAACTCAGTCCTACTCCATGCAGGCTTGTCCCCATGCCAGTTTATCTAAATGGAGAATGTGAACCTAGTCACAAGAGACAGAAAAATTGAGAGAAACCAGCACAAATTCCTAAGAAACACTGCTTTTCTGTTCTAGGAATTTATTCAAAAGCTGGTCTTTGATAGCTGCACCAGTATTGCTTAGCTTATCAGGGTTTTCTTTCAGATATTCTTCATATTGTGGCTGCAGTTTTGGTTTTCTTTGAGGCATGGTTGCCTCTATAAAGCACCTATTTACTTAGGGAAGTACATTCATATGAAGATGAAGAGATGGTGTACTGTTTTGCTTATGCTGGTACAGTTAGAACAGGACAATATTATCATTAAAAAGGTATATATGAAGAAACCTGTAAAATACACCCTTTTGCATTTTTGTCTTAATTTTAAATCCTGATGTGTTTGTGTTATTCCTTCGTTCTTTTCATTGCTGATGCAATCACTTTTTCAGAGCCACACAGAGATGCCAATCTTGGCAGGGAGTCAAGGATGCTCTTTAAAATGGTATCAATTTGTTTACCAATTTCTTTCATTAGAGACATCAAAACTGGATAAAGTAGAATGTCATCATCATGTATGTTAGTTACTTCATTTAGAAAGTCTGATCTGTAACTGATATGTGAAGTTGAAAATTTTAATATAATGTTTTGACAAGGTTATAATATGCTATGATAGCATATTGGAGGTACTGAGGCAGTGGATTGTATGAAGTCACTGAAATTTTCTGAATGACTAATTCAAGCTCTCATCTAGGGGTGAAATTACTTAAAACTTTTCTTCCAGCTTGCTTTGAAGGGTACTATGAAATGTGTAGGTGGGAGGGTTATGCTGTAGTTAACCCAGGACTCTGATGCTGAGATAACTGGCAAGACCTACAGTTGTGTGGAGATGAGCTGTGTGGGGTGGGTTTTCTTGTTTTCTTTTTGCTGTCCCTTGTTATTGACAGATAGGAGCACCCAAACAAAAGCAGAGCCTAGGCCCTTGTTAAATGGAAGTAAATGTAACACTGGAACCATTTGCAAAAAAAGTGATCTAAAAGATATTTCTTCAGCCTGAATCTCTGCTGTAGTTTTGACAGAGAAAGCTAGACTATAACCATCTCAGAAGGAAAATTTTAGGGAGACATTATTAAAAGTTTTAGTGCAATGTTATGTCTCTTGGCAGGTTTTGATCTAATTATAACTTAACGCTGTTGGTCATAAACTGGGGAGAACGGAGCCGCTTATCACTGAATCTAGTGACTACAAGGTCACCAGGGTAATAGTCAGCCCATTCATTTACCTGTGGCAGAGACAGGTCTCTGAGTTGTTCTTAGGGAATAAATAAGACATGCTTTTGGACAGGCTTTTGAAAGATTTCTGTGGTATATGCTAAGACTGGTATCTCTGTATTGCTCTGAAAAAGGGATTGCACCATGATGAAAAGAATGAAGGAATAACATAAATGCATAGGGACTAAAAATACATCAAGACAAACCAAATTCCAGCTAGTAAGAGAAACAAGACAAAAGGGAAAGACTATAAATGCAAAGAAAGATCATGGGGAAGACATTGTCACTGTTAGTTAGGACCTAAAATTTTATTTGGCTCTCCCTTGTCACTAAGTGATAAGTAGATGCTACTGAGAGAGATGAAAACACTGCTTTCAATAATTCAACCTAAACCAAGGCTAATAGTGGCCAGCAATTTAATAAAGAAGGCCCAGTGCAGATCAGACTGAAAAGTATTTAGATAACAAATTTGTATTCAAGTTACCAGGATCTGATTTGTGTACTGTGGTTTTCAGGAAAGAATCAGAGTAGTGGTTTCTTGTGATGTGATTTCTGGGGAAATGAAATGGGCTAGCATAGTACTTACATTTAAAAAGGTGAATTTCTTGAAACTATCCATCTGTCAAAATTATTTTGTCCATAGAGCTATTAGAGAAAGATAAACACAGTGGAGAACATTAAGGTGACATAACCAACAGAAATTTTGGACTGATCCACGTAACTCTCCCAAAGGAATGAGGCGTGGGTATGCTGTTGTTTGAAATACTGCATTTCCTCATTATTATTAAGTGCATTTTGGAACCAGTGGAATCATTTGCAGGTCTGATCTGGATTCTTCTGGTTACTGTTTTCATTGTTGACTTGTTTAGGGCTGTAAATTATCTCAAGGGATTATTTCATTCCATTTATTCAAGGCAGGATACAGTCATTCCCTACAGCTTTGTAAAACCTATTCTTATGCCTCAGTTTACTTTTCCCTAAAATACCCTTATTTTGCTCAAACTTTCTTTTAAAATCATGTTCTTTTAGACATGTGGTTACTCTTAGTTCAGACAAAAGCCATATCTGTTCCTTAATTGTTCAGTGTTTTTTTGGGGAAGCCTCTTCAGGAACACTGTGTACAAATGTTTCTGTCTACAGCATACAGTATGCATCAAAGAATAACATGCATCTAGCTTCTATGGCCAAATATTCGAGCATTGGGAAAGAGAGGTTGTAGAGAGATTGTAGTACTGAATACTTCCCCTTTTTGTGATCTCTGGTACTATTAATTTGTAATTTCCTGCTCTTCTGTACAGAAAAGTAAACTTGCATACAGCTGTTACTTTAAAAAGACCTTTGCAAATTGTCCTTCAAATCTCTTCTGCCTAAGGGGGGGATAAATAGAGCATTGCATGTTTACAGTGCAGTTGAGACCATTTGTTGATAATTGGACTCTTTTTTTAAAAAACTAAAACTGAGCTATGATAGGCTTATGATTTGCTTGAAGCAAATTAAATAATTTAATATCTCATCCTGTAATTCTAGTAGCTCATTAAAGCAAGAATTCTTAGACTAGGCATACCTGACACTTCGGTATTTTAAAACCAGGTGGGTGCTGATGTTTAAAATGAATAGCTTATGGAGACTTCACCGTTACATGTCTGTCTGAATCTGTTTTGCCATTTTCTTACAGACTTGGTCTAGAAAGAGGTGCAACAGCTAAAGAAGCATTGGATGTAATAGTTGCTCTGTTGGAAGAGTATGGACAAGGTGGAAATTATTATGAAGATGGGAGTTCATGCCATACTTTCCAAAGTGCATTTTTGATTGTGGACAGAAATGAAGCCTGGATACTGGAAACTTCTGGAAAGTACTGGGCAGCAGAAAAAATCACAGGTCAGTTTATCACTCTCAGCAAGCCTCTCTTCTTATACATAACTGTAAAGAATTGTCTTGGATCTTAAAGCCACTGAGTTTAAATAAGTGACTAATTTATGCATTTGATTAAATCATCAGTTTTAACCTTCTGTATTTGTACTACTCTTATTTTTTTTTAAATGTTGATTTGTATTGGCTGATGTAACAGCATTTTCTGTAAATCTGGAGATTGTTACCTGTATACATAAGCTATGTAATAATCATAATGCTTAAATTTTTATCTTTGGGAAGTGTTGTATTTTCACAGATTTATTTACTATTTGGAATGTGCAAAATGTCTTTTTAATAGAGTTAATTCCCAAATTGTTACTTGAAAATCTAAAATGTTAAGAGGGCAGGATGAGCATTGATAGCTTTGAGAAAAGAGCTTGTGTTAGGTTGTAAATTGAATGGGGCTGCTGCTGGTTGCTTTACCATAATAGATGTAGTCTCCTCATATCCCCATTTCTTACCTGATACTGCAAAACAATACTTTTCTGCTCTTTGAAGTTGTAGGTGGTTTCCTTTTCTGTATGTGTGAAGCCAGACCTGCCAAACTTAACTTCTAGAGTTCACTGGCTTGGTGGCTGAACTTATTTAAAACTTTGCTGGCAAGTATGTGCTGCCTTAATATAACATGATTGTCTAAGGCATATATTTAATTTATTTTCAGTTGTTTTTAGCTTTGAAAGGATTTTTATTTTCGTAAGAGTAGGGATTAAAAAAATTTACTCACATTTTAATTCATTAAAAATTCAGATCATTTAAGATTGTTATCATCCATGTTATGACTGATCCGTTCAATTCTCTTCATTTTTGCTTAATTGAAAAGGAGGAGGAGGTTTAATGTTGTTGAAAATACCAAAGCAAAGAAGTAACACTGGGCTGTGTAATATTGTGTGATGGCTTACTGTCAGTTCATGCCATCAAAAATGAATCAGCTTACTTTAGCAGGGATGGTGTTTCCCCAAGCAAAGTTTGCATTTTAAGGATACCTGCAAGATGGAGGCAGTCTTCTAGCACAGATACCAAACATAGAGGAGGGAAAACTGATAATGCTGTCCTGATAAAATCCAGATTCTGGAAGGCAGTTGGCTCCTGAGGTTCCTGGGATTATGCAGTGACAGCCTGCCTTCTTCTGTTGACCTACCTGGCTGATATTTGAAGAACAGTATTTTTTACTTTGCCTTTTTAGCTGCATCAGCAACACATAACCTTCATGTCCTTCTTCCCAGCAAATAAACTATTGCCTTCATTGGCTGCTTTCAGCTTTCTGAAATGACACTGCAGCTCTGTTCTGATTTTTACCAGTGCATTTCTCTTTAGGAGGTCCCTGTGAGCTGCAGATAAGTAGTTTACATCTCCTGCAGCCTGCTAAGGCTGCCAGAGGGAAAGGCTGCTGGCTGTGTAAGAGCTCTATATTTCACACTTTATTCAGGGGGTTCTTTTTTGCAACCATAAGCGTGCCTCTTAAGCTTTCAAATGAATGCACAAATGCTGCTAAAACAGGGAAAATGCGTCATTCCCCAGTGTGAAGGCATTTTTTTCTCTGTCTGTCCTCTCAGAGTTGCTCTAATATTACTGCTGCAGTTCTGTAAAGCTTATAATGAATTTATCAAGCCACTCTGCCAGTAATTTAAGGATAAACACTTTAAAATTCTTCTTATTACTGTTCTTCAGTCTGAGTGGAAAAATTTATTTGCTTGATAAATTTTCATTTTTGAGGGGGATCAGAACCATCCAATACTATTTTACACAAGTTACTAAATGTAATATTTAAAGAGCTCTTAAGGAGTGGCTTGCCTAGCTTGATATGAATACAAATATTCCTATTACTCAAGAAAATTCCCTGAAAGGTATGATGTTTGAAAGTGTGAATCAGAACAAGCTGTCAGTGACCCTACTGTAAGTCAGAATTGAATGACGGAGACTTTTTTTAGACTGATGCACAGAACTTCCTACTATAAGTTGTTATTATTTAAATTGAATGCATGAGGTATTACAAAAACAAGCTTACTTTTGTGGAAGGCAGTATTAATAACTTTCACGAATACTGCTTTGGTTTCTGTTTAAGAAAGTTTGTGCCAAATTCCAGAATCTGGTTTTATTTTAGTTTACAGATTTACTTTTTCAGCTCTTTCTCTGGCTTCCAACACACTCTATTCTCTCTGAGGAGTATCTGAGCAGCCACTTTTAGTCATGCTGTAGATATATAGATATAAGCAATGCAGTATTTTTGAAAAAAGCAAATTAAAAAGCCCTTTCATGTTCTTTGAGGGCTGCTTACACTTTTTTTACTTTATGCCATTTTAAAAATTAAGATTAAAAATTAAGTTTAATTTAAGCGCCTATCTTGCTGCTTACAATAATATTGTTCTTCAGCTGGGAAGCTTAAAGCAATTGGTAAGCTTTAAAAAACGTCTTCCAAATTAAATTTTCAGTTTTGGGAGGCAGAGAGGGTTCATTAAACTAAATGCAGCTTTCCTGAAATATATTTTGAAATCAAGTCAGACCTCAAGCCTTGTTGTGGCAGTGGAATACACCATTGGAGGAAGGATTAGGCAGGTGCCTTTGGCATTTGGAGACCACTATTATTACTTCATGGTCAGAATGTGTGAGGTACGGATTGTGAAACTGGTGTTCTGACTAAATACCACTCACTATTAATCACAAGGCAGTGTAGATATCTAAGTAGGGCACAGAGAATTGAGCTCTGCAACCTGCAGTGACTAGTAATTCTGTGTATGTGTAGTTGTGTAGTTATGCAGTCATGCCAAGTGTACCTCCTAACCAATGGTATAATTTGTTTCCTAACTGAAATGACGTTGTCCTTCCAGCTTGTCCCAGAAAAACTGTATTAATGCTCTCTTTTAATGTGTGGCTTTTTCTACAGAGGGAGTTAAATGCATTTGTAATCAGCTTTCATTAACTACAAAAATTGATGCTGAGCATCCTGAACTAAGGAATTATGTGAGAAGTCAAGGCTGGTGGAACGGAGACTCAGACTTCAATTTTTCTGAAGTGTTCTCTCTTGCTGATGACCATTTAGCCTGCTGTTCTGGCAGGGAGAGCCTAGAAAAGCAAGGTGGTAAGTGTTGAACCATCTTTCTGTGTGTGAAGTGGGATTTTTAGTCATAATTGCCTCCTTCCAGGCATTCTGTCCAGAACTACAGTTGACGAAGGACATGTAAACCGTGTGGAAAGGAAGACCAGGGCTGAAGACTGCTAAACTTGCCACAATTTAGGATGAAACCCTTAATGTCCCCCTCAAGTTTAAGGTTTTAAAACAGGATTGCAATTATAAAATAACTTTCTTCACTGCTGTTCTGATGTGCATCATGTGCCACTACATTTGTGCTTTGGTGTAACTATAGTGGTCCTACCTAATAATGAAATTACAGTATTTAAAAAAAATGGCTTCACATATGACGGCTTGAGCTTTGGATTCTACATTTTGGGAGGTTTGCTTAGGCTTTTGAGGAAGGAATTAAGATCATAGTTTAAGGAAGAGTAATGTTAGTGAGTTGCAAACGGAAGTCCCTTTTTCATTGTCAAGCACAACAAAGTTACCAGAGCAAACAATGTGCCAATTCCCTTCAGTCAAAGAAAGAGTTTATTTCCAGACCAAAATTTATTAGTGACTTAAGTTCATTGCAGCTGGTCAAAATAGCTCTGAGATGACCAGCCTGCAGCAGTGCATGGCTGACATATATCTGGTCTTTCATGTGTGAAAAATGGTACAAATTATCTTTTTATAAAAAGCCTTTTACTACAGAGGTGAATTTACTAGATTGTTAGTATTTTCACATGTTGTCAAATGCCAAGAAGTGTTTAGGTGAAATATTTATTGCAATGCAGAGTTCTTGCTAAGGCTATAGAATTAATTACATGGAGCATGGTTTGTGTCTGAGGCAGACATCAAACCATGCAATTCTGAAGGACCATAGGTAAAAGGTCTTAATAAAGCTGGATTATAGCACTAAAAAACCTGAGGTCCCCTACAGACAGATGGCTGTGGCTGCAAATCTTGCAGACTGCTGGGTCATTCTGTGTCTCCTGGTGTATTGAGGCACCTGTGCATGAAAGGATTGAGACAGTGCAGGATTTAAGTGGATGGAAAAGAAGCCTTTCCTGCTAAGGGGGTAATGCAAGAAAACATGGAGGTGCTGTGGGGAGAAAGCTGTGATAAGACACAGGAAATAGAATGAGAACATGGTATTCTTGTAAGTAGTGGTTTGGAGAAAAATCTCAGTGTCTAGGTCTGCTGCTGTAAGATCCTGTGAATGCGGGATGATGTTTCAAAATTTTGACTGAAATGGAAATAGATGAGAAGTGGGAGATCAGGGTGTGCCCATTTTGCCTGAGCTTGGGTAGAAGTAGCTTCTTAGAGGAAAATGGTTGTTTATGAAAGTAGTCTGTTCACAGTGGTTGCTAAAGCAATATTACAGATGTGATGGCCTTCTTCCTGAAAAATACTATTTAATGACATTTCTCCCTACCTAGATATTGTAATGTCTATTTAATGGTTCTTACTGTTCTTTTTTCCTAGCTAGGCAGGTTCATTCTGGTGACATGCCCATGTTGTGACACTGGTCATATTAGGCCAAAGCCCATTCAGGCTAAATTCCTTCCCTGGGACTCAAGCTATTGTTCACTCAGCAATTTTTCTTTTCTTTTTTCCTCCCTTCCTATAGGTGATGTTTCTGCACAGGCTATGATTGATGTGCTGCGTGACAAGGATAGTGGTGTCTGTGTGGACTCTGAATCTTTCCTTACTACAGCTAGCATAGTGTCTGTTCTGCCTCAGGACCCTAGTTTTCCCTGTGTTCATTACTTCACTGGCACACCAGACCCTTCAAGGTAAGCCACAGCACTGGGGTTCCCTGGGTGCAGAGCAGATGATGGGTTAAAAAGATATTAAAAAAAACCTGCTACCAAAATTGGTACCTGCTTCAAGAGCATGTTCTAAGCAGAAATGCAATCAGCAGTTGTTGGTGTGCAGTCTGACAGGCCTGTGTTACTGAACTGCATCTTGCTCAAGTCTAAATGGATGCCACTGCCTGAAAGACCAGATCTGGAACTTTGCCTAAATTTGGACATTCTAGAGTAAATGCAGTTTAGAGAGGAGCCAGGAACTATTTACTACTCCACCATAGTTGCTTTCCAGTGGGTTTTTGCTGAGATGATGAGCTTGTGGACCTTTTCAGTCACTTCTCTCTTGAACTGAGTGCAAAACTGAAACAAAGTGTCTAACTAGCAAAAAGGCTACTCTAGGTATATGACATCAAAATGTTAACAGAGCAAAACATCCACAAGTCCAGGTATCTGAAGTTGTTTTTTATTGGAGGGACAATTTCCAGGTTGTTTAAATGTTGTCTTCTCTAGTTCAAAGCAGCAAAGGAGGTAAGGGAACTCATGGACCAGATCATTAAAGAACTAATGAATTATCTTGTGTTTTAAACAAAATCCACCTGGGATTCACAGAAATTAAATTAAACCACTTGCAGTTATTCAGGAGGTCTGCCACTTGCATTGAAGTAAAGAGGCTATGGGTGAGAAGAAAATGGTGCCCTCGAACCACTGACAGTCGTTCCTAAAAGGAGAGTGGTAGTAAGCATTTGGTGCTACTGAGTGCTACAGAAGTCATCCATGCGAAAGACACTTTCCACCCACCGTGCATTAAGCAACTCAAACCTTCAGAGTTAAGTAAGAAGCTTTGAGCTTGCTTGCCAAAACTTCTCTTCATGCAAATCCTTTGAGATTAAAAGGAGCAAGGATTTAAATTGTTTAGGTGGGATTTCTGTCCTTTTAAAGGCAAAATCTAGCTGTAAAATCCTTGTTTAGAGGCCTTTCTTGCTTTATTTTACACTCTAATGCATTAAAAAAGCATTATTTTAAGTGCAGCTAGTGAGTCACAAACTCTTAGTCAGCAAGGCTTCATGGCAGTGATGGAAAGGTTAGCAGCAATGAACCTGCTGACTGTATGCAGTCAGTGGTTATTAATCATGTCTTGCAGAAGTCTTGCACTTCTGGCAGCTTCTTCACTGCAGAATGCAGGGTGCTATTTTGTTGTGTATCTAAAGGGAAGGCAGGCAGTTTCTCCATGCATTTGCCAATACCTGCTCTCACATTCTCGGGAATTACGATGCTGGATCACTGGGGTTTTGTTGTCAGACTCTGGAGTTTAGATTTAAACTCAGTGTTGAAGTTGTTTGAATAATGTCACAATATTGGTAGTTATGTTTTTTCCCCCTCTTGACATAAAATCCTAAAGTGCTGCTCGTTATATGCCAAATCCTCTGCTATTGGGCAAGGTAGGTAATCTCTGCTCAAGGCTTCATGACAGTGATCTGGGAGAAGGAGAGAGATCAGTGTGAACAGAGAAGAAAAACTGATGTGAGGCTGAATGCTGAGATTTGTTTAAAAAAAAACTTGGAGAGGAAAATACAGTGTTACTCTTCTAAAGAAGTGGCAGAACTGGCATGAAGGACATCAAACAAGCCTATAGGTAAAAAGGGGTAATAAAATTTTACAGTAATTGGCAAACCAGTTCTTTTAAAGCACATAGACTTATTTTCCTTGTGACCAGTATCAACTCTCTAACCTAGTCCATGCCTTGTTTATATGAATTACCTGTGCTGTTCTGTATCTGTTGTTTTAAAATAGCCTGGTGAACATTTCAATAACATATATAAAATCTCTCTTATTACTGCAAGCGGTAATTCTCATTTCTTTCAGGTCCATATTTAAACCCTTTATTTTTGTTGATGATGTAAAATTAGTACCAAAAGTACAGTCTCCTTCTTTTGGCAATGATGATCCTGCTAAAAAGATACCTCGATTCCAGGAGAAACCTGATCGCAGGCATGAATTGTACAAGGCACATGAATGGGCACGATCTCTTCTTGAGAATGATCAGGTAAGAGCTGTGGGACCTGGAATTAAAGAAGAAAATGTAGATTCCTAACTCCATAATCTACTTGAGTTACTCACTGAAAAACAAGGATGCAACCTGTTCTGGTTAAACATTTCTTCCTCCATGTTATCAGAATCCCAAAAAAAAGAGCATTCTCTGAATATTCTTAGAATCCTTGCTTAGAATCCAAGTTTAGCTTGAATAATGACGCCTTCTGAAGGGCAAACTATTCTACATAGGTTTTTTTATTATCCTGAGAGCGTTGCTCTGCTCCATTACTTTTACAAAGTGAAAAGTCAAACTGACAAGCTGATCAGCTTGTTCAATTCCCATTGTGTAGATAGTCTTTTCAAATGATCACTGAACACTGGATGCTAGTGCAATGTGCTATCAGAATTATATGACAGGATGATGGACAGAATGTTGTAAATTCAATTATATGACAATGTTGTAATTTCAATTATATGCTGGATTAAGAACTACATGGTTTGAGGTTTTTTTTCTTGAAGGAATAATTTGCACATGACAGTTTTGCAACTCGGTGTGTTTCTGTTAATTTTTAAGAATTAACTAAAAATACCATTGGAGTAGAAAGGCCACTTTCCAATGCCATGCATCAGGTATTTGTGGTCTGAAAACCTTCCAGTGTATTCTCTTGTGGGAATACATTTTTGAATAAAGGCAGTCAGGAAGGGGATTATTCTGGACAGCTTTTCCAACTGATTGAGCTACAGCTTTTGCTGTCATAGTGCAAGTAGTTCAATAACTGTTCTTCGACATTTGCAATTACAACTACAGCAGTAAACTGGATAAATGATTATAAAGTAGTACAACAGAGGGAGAGATCACCAGGGCATGCCAGTCATACTGGTACTGGTATTTCAGGCAGTTTGTGGAGGACCTATGCAGTCATGTTGAACTTCCACAGAGGACATGCTTTTCTGCATTTTTCCTTTGTGCATGTTTGCATAGGTCAGAGTCTTGCTAAGATCATAACAGCATACAGCCTTAATCCTTTAGTGATTAAGGAAACATTGGTAAACTTTGCTAGTACAAACTTTATTTAAACACAGTTTTGGCTAGATGTGGTTTTTAATCTCTTGGAATGGTTTAACTTAAAATCTGTGGCCTCTGCAGTAATGTTGACTGAATGTGCGTGTGGTTTATAGCACTTTACGCAAGACGCTGATTTAGGGAAGACCTAGCAGGGGTGTGTTAGCTTCTTGTGAACTCTTCCTTATCCATGTCCCACAGTGTGACATCATCAGTTATGGTAGAAAAGGAAATTTAGCTTTTAGTTAGGCTTCATGCTATAAAAACTGTGATCTGAGAGCCTGAATCTTTGCTTAGATGCTCTACTCTTACTACACAAATGCTGGTTAAATCATGGAAAGCTCAGAACTATCACTCATTCTGAATGCCTTTTTTTCCCTGGAATTCAATGCTGAATGCTGCAAGCAAAACAAACAGCACTTCTCAAAAAAAAAAAAAAAAAAAAAAAAAAAAAAAGGAGACTTCAAATAACATCTGGATAAACCAAAATGACACCATTTTCCTGACCAGAAACATGAAGAGCAGTAAGTCAGAGTGGTATACAAAGCCTTCCCTGGGGTCTGGAGTCTTAATGCTGTTACATTACACATAATTTTAGATCTGATCATAAACGTGCGGGTGGTGATCTGAGGGATACACACGTACGTACCATGATTTGTAGAATCCTTGGGGCTTCTAGTCTTCTCATATAGTTCTGTTTGCAGGTTTTTAAGCTTAAGAAGTTGCTTTACTACTTTTATCACATGTAAAAGCCTTATACCATTTTCCTTTATCCATCTTTCACTCCATCTTCCTTCTCTGATTTAAACGTAGTAACTCCTTAAAGGTTATTTTTCTTAATGCATAATGTGTCCAGCACTGTTCTTTTTAGCTCCTCACCATGCAAAAAACTATTAACAGAAATAGTTTCTACTTAAATAGGCTTTCTTGTTTTTTAAGAAACTTGAAAATATCTCCATAACAGAACAGTGCAATGCTTTAACAAGACTGTTTGCTGGTTAATTGAGTTTGATTGTTTCATGTGTTTAGGATAAAGGCCAGAAACTGATGAGGATTATGTTAGACCTTGAAAAACAAGGCTTAGAAGCAATGGACGATATCCTTACTCGTACAGAGGTTCTGGATCCTGCTGAAGTAGTGGATCTTTTCTATGACTGTGTTGACACAGAACTAAAGTTCTTCAAATAAAGTAAGCAAACACTTCTGTTCTTTAGATACTGAGTTTCTGGTACCAGGTATCAATGAATGTGAAATGTTGGATCTGACTCTGATCCTCCTTCTCTTTTACACTAAACTAAGGATGTTCAGAATTGGGTCCAAAGCTGCCTTTCTACTTCAGTGTATCAGCTTGGATTGTCTCCAAAGTCCCTTTTCCCTATGCTACAAGCAGTTGTTTTGGTTTTTTTTTTCAATTTCACTTTTGCTTGGAATGGATTTTAAATGAATTTTATCTCATTTCAGCTATGGTGGCTATTGTTAGCCTTTTCATTGGAAGACTGAAAAGTTCTTCAAGCCTTGAAAGAAAGTCTTCACACTTGTGAATTTGCAGGAAAAACATTTCTAGAGGAAAAAATGTTACTTGCTAGCTGTATCTGGTTAACAAATTGCTTTCCTTTGTCCAATCTTGTGGTGTTCCTGTTTGTGTATGTATATAGTGAAAGGAGAAAGTCACTGACTGGTCCAATTACTGTGTGCATGCTGGCTAATTTAGTACAGAATGTTTAAATATGTATGTTGGGCAACCAATTAAAGCAAAGATTAACTTCATCAGGCTACCTGCCATATAATCATTGAAAGCAACCCATTTTTTCCTCTGTTGCTCAGGACTAGGCTTGCAGCAAAGCTGACGTGCATTTTTCTCTTCTTGCTAATTCATACAGAGAATGGTAGAGTTGAAATCCCAGTTTTGAGGGGGCAGGAAGTTAAGTCCTGGTTCTTGACCTTGCTGTACTGGCTTTATATGGGCATATCTGGTTACAGTAACTCAGCATCTGACATTATACCTGTACAAATTATCAGAATTAGGTCCCCCAGGTTCAGTTTTGCCTTCACCTGCACCCAACTTAGGGAAGCTTGGGTTTGTAATGCACCTGGCTGCTGCTCTAGTACCAAGTACTAAACTGCAGCACCAGCCTGGATGCCCAAGACATCTATACATAACCTATGGGCTCTTAAGATGCAATTAATGAGGTGTCATGTTTATAGACATGCTACAAATTAGAATTTTTGGAGGGAATAGATGCTGGACATTGATCAGTACCTGACTATTTTCTACCTTTCTGCCTTTGTAGTGCTGAACAGTTCCTAGTAATCTCTGTGGTGAAGCATACATGGCTGAATCCAAAAAGTACCAGTGAGTTACTGGTGGGTATGGCAATCCAACTGATTAGGCTTAGAAATGGCTGTCTTGCGCTTCCTTATATTACGTGCAGTGCTGCAGCATGCTTCCCTTCCTTGACAGTCTTAGACAGAACTGCTTTTCAAGTATTTTCTTCTTGTAGAAGTGAGATAGGGCAAACACTTCAAGAATTAAACTGGTAAACACTGCTTCCTGTGTCATGTGAAGATGGCTGGGTGTTTTTAACAGGAGGTTCAGACAAGTCTGTGTCTCTAATAAGTGGAAGTTAGTATATGGAGTTAAAATCCTTCACTGTTCACAGAAGGGGATGGTGAAGATCTATGGACTTTTCTACTGAGAAATAAAAGCTCTTTAAAAGGCAGAAACACCTCAATGATTGCCCCAGCCAGAGGGCCAAAATTAGGATATACCACTTCACACAGCTCTTTTGCACAACTCCGATCTCTAACCTTTGAGAGCTGGGAAAGAGGCAGGATGAAAGAAGAGGGTGTTCCTGCTAAAAAAATAGTATCTCTTATTTGCCTGTTTCTTAAGAAAGAAGAAACCAACATTTGCAGTTATCTTGTGGGAATTTATGTTCTTATTTGGAACTGCTTATATGACAACTAATAAATTGTTTTTGAGCAGAGTGATCCAGATAGTAATTTTCTAATAGTAAGTTGCTTTTGCTTCAGCTGTGCAGTGCATTTTCAAAAAAACCCATAATACTGTGCTACAGCAACATGCATGCTTGAGTGCAATCGCTAGTCCTACAAGCTTCAGAAAGCAAAGCACCCCCATGGCCTTAAAAATTCCAGTGGTCTTGAGCACATCTGAGGCTTGGTGGAAGGGCAGAGTGGGACCAACTGCTACTGGGTGACAGACAGTGTGAGTCGCTATCTCCAGGTAAGAGCAGCTTCAGAAGCTTCAACAGATCTTGAACAATCCAGTATATATGGAAATAACAGTTCACCAACACTTGCGAATATACACAGGCTTTCTAATTTAATCCCTGAAAGATGCTGTTTGATTCAAAAATATCCCTCATCATAATAAAAACAGGAGTAAAACTTTTTCTCCTTCAGCTATCTTCTGGCAGGTAGTTTAGCATTAAATAGTTCTAAATTCCTTATGAAGGTACTTAGTACAGAACAGTACACAAGTTCCAGGACAAATGAGAACCAACAGAAATCACCTTTAATAGTACTATGACAAAATATTCTTCAAAGCAGTATTAAACTTTTCCAGTTGTTTGAGAAACAATGTACATGCTGACCCCTGCTTATTACCATATTCATGCATATCAAGTAACTGTAATAATGAGTGACAGTAAGTATTGGTCAAAGCATCACTAATTTTCACATGACATCCAGCAAGGTATCATAATAGGCTACAAAAAGTCTAACACTGCTTGCTTATGAGTCTACAGGTGAAGAGCTTCTTACCCTTACACCATCTCCACACCATGAGCGTCCATGTGTGTGGGAGCAGCCCCTACAGTGTAACTGAGCTGTTGCAAGAAAAGCAGAGAGAGGTAGATACAGTTCCCTCTCTCTTCCAAATAGTTTTGTTCAAAGGCATGACTGTGGGGGAAAGATCTTCACCTGTGATCTATAATGTTATTACAGCTGCAGCTGAGGGAAATTTATGGAAATTACAGAAATTAATGCTCAAACTGTAAATAGCCTGGCTGATAGCACCAGGCTCACCCTGGAACAGCAGTGCCCTTTTTCAAGTTGGTGAATCATAGAATCATTTAGATTGTAAGAGACCTTTAAGATCATCGCATCCAAGCATTAACCTAATGCTGCCCAGTCCACCACTAACCATGTCCCTAAGCACCATATTTTATCAGTACCTCCAGGGATAGTGACTCACTTCCCTGGGCAGCCTGTTCCAATGTTTGACAACCCTTTTGGTGAAGAAATTTTTCATAATATTCAATCTAAACCTCCCCAACTTGAGGCCATTTCCTGTTACCAACACCCACATCCCTACAACTTCCTTTCAGGTAGTTGTAGAGAGTGATGAGGTCTCCCCTCAGCCTCCTTTTCTCCAGGCTAAACAGCCCCAGTTCCCTCAGCTGCTCCTCAGAAGACTTGTGCTCTAGGCCCTTCACCAGCACCTCAAGTGTCTGTCTTGTAGTGAGGGGCCCAAAACTGAACATGGTATTCAAGGTGTGGCCTCACCAGTGCTGAGTACAGGGGGACTCACTCTATTCACTTTCCTGTCCCTGATGGCCACGCTATCTCTGAAACACCAGGATGCCATTGGGCCTACTGCTGGCTCATATTCTGCTTGCTGTCCACTAACACCTCCACATCCTCTGCTGAGCCTGCTCTTCCCAAACCTGCAGCATTGCACGAGGTTGTGACCCAAGTGCAGGAACCCAGGAAAGCTCTAAGTAGGGGAATCCAAAAGTGGTTGAAGTTGGAACAGGTGGCTGGAGGTTGTCTGATCCAACTTTGAACCTGTTGCCCGGGACCCTGCCCAGATGGCTTTTTAGTCTCTCTAAGCAGTGAGACTTCACAATGTCCCTGGGCAACCTGCACCAGTGCTCAGCCACCCCCACACTCAGAAAGTGTTTCCTGATGTTCAGACAGAGCCTCCTGTGAAAAGAGCCTGGCTCCATCTTTATACCCTCCCTTCAGATACTCATACACATTGATAAGATTGCCCTGAGCCTTCTCCAGGCTGAACAGTCCCAGCTCACTCAGCCTTTCTTCATAGGAGAGATGCCACAGTCTCTGTCACCTTAGTGGCCTTTTGTTGGCCTCTCTCTGCTATGTCCATGTCTTCCTTGTACTGGGGAGCCCAGAACTGGACACAGTACTCCAGGTGTGGCCTCACCAGTGCTGAGCAGAGGAGAAGGATCACCTCCCCTGGCTTGCTGCCAACACTCCTCCTAATGCAGTGAAATGCACAAGGATAAGGATAATTCTTGCTCAAAATAGATCTCTCATGAACATCTGTGATCCAGAGACCTTACCCCAGGTTGCATATTAAAAGCAGAAGCTAAGGTCTTGTCCACTGTAGGTTGTTACTTTTTTCAACCAGTTCTGTTCAAGGGAACAACCATTTTGGGGACTGCTTGTTCCATGTGGTGTATTTTGGACAATGAATCCTCACTATTGCCATGGATGAATAGTAGTAGCGTCTTTAAAATGTAAGTATTGGACCCCTCATCCAAAGGCCTCTTAATTGCCAGGATATATGCCGTGGGATGTGTCTTCACACAGACCGTGGGGATTTTTTTTGCTTACAGTAGAACAAGTTTTTTTTCCTCCAGTTTGGAAAAGTTCCATCATCTTTGTCAAGTCTGTGACCACCCTACCCAGCTGGACTTCTTCAGGCACTATCCTATAAGGATCTGTAATCAACAGGAGGTAGGCTCAACAGCAGCCACAGCTCCTTGTCATCTCTTTCCTCTTCATGCTTGATGAGAAAAGGACTGTGGGCCATCTGTTCATAAAGGTGACATTCTGCTGCAATCTGAGGATAGGCAGAATAGAAGGGAAGAAACATACAAAGAGACTAAAGGTAGCATGTTAGTTTTTCATTGAAAAATGTCTGAATAACAACTAGAGAATTTCCAGAATACTTGAAGATGATGATGAAAGGGGAAGAGTGGACTACAGGGCATCTAATGCAAAAAGTATTCTGAGGTAACATCTGTCAGCATCATAAGAATGAACTGTTTCAACACTACAAAGAATTTAAATTTTATGCTGCTTTGCTTAAAAAATATCCACCTATATACAATAATTTAAAAGCCTGTACTAACATTCCTGTAGTATGTAGGCCAGTTTAAAAAGTATCATTTACATCACTTTTCCAGTTTACAGAAATGTCAACACTACAGCACTTGCAATTCAAATATGATCTCTATCACTGTAATGGGGACACCTTCTGTTTTATATATTCTCTCGATGTTCTTTTTTAATACTAATCCAGAGAGCATCAGAAGACTCTTCTCATCTCACATGTGTTCTTAATGGAGGATTTTTAGTGGCATCTGCAAATAGATATAACAGGTTTAATCAGAAGACAGATAGATAAACGGTCTGGATATATATTTTGGATGCATTTTTACAGCAGGGATGCTGCATTTCTCTCCTTCTACCCTTGAACTGATATATATATATACATATATACACACACATATATATATATATACACACACATATATATATTGCTTATGCTCTGTAGCCCTTCAGTAAAAAGTCTGTGATCAGATCATACAACAGACAATTTAGACTGACTGAGGCTGCTATGAGAAGTCATGCAAAGTACCTTGGCATAGAAACAAAAAACCAACTTAATGAAAAGTTAGAGATAAATAGTTGATCTAATAATACAGAAAAGACTGGGTTTTATAAAAAGCAAGTGTAAGCGCTTCAGATCTTTTGGCACCTTTAACTATGATTTTTCAAAGCTAGATAGGTGAACTTCTGCTCCTACAACAGTGACCTGATATCAAGTTTCTAAGTTAAGGGGGGGGAAAAAAAAGCAAGGTTCAGTCATTCATTACTTTCCTGACAAGGTTCAGGTACTAAGTCCCTCTGTTATTCAGGTGTGTAAAACACCATGTATGGGATTTAAATCAAAATACATGGTGGAAGACATGGATCAAGTCACCTTTCTTTGTGATTCCACAAGTTCATGAACAAAAAAACCAACTCAGTAGCTGCTTAAGTCTGTTTATGTGACATCACTGTTTTTAACATCAAGGGCTCTGCAAATTCAACAATCTAAAGAACACAGACTGCATGTCAAGCCACATCATTTTATTTTTAGGTACTAAGACTTCAAAGTAAGTAATAAGTGCTTTACATTATAGCTTTGGTCCCTGTTACCACTGTAACAAATCCCATCCCTCTCTGTGCCTATGCTAGCAGCCCAGTTCTTCACGTTAATGCTTTATTTTCACTCCCTGTTTTAGTCCTATTGGATAATTATCAGACCTTCTCATGTTTACACACTTACCTCTAGCTATCTTGCTGGGATATATTTTCTGAAATGGTTTGAATTCATCAGGTGGGGGGAAGTCTTCCACAGAATGGAAGGTAAATTTAGATTCAAAGTCATCTGGGAAGTTTCAGGAAAATAAACATTAGTCACTGTTAGACAGATACTTAAAAAAAGAAAGTTTAAAACCGCCACAAGTAATTTCAGATAAAAAAGCTGATTCATTTTCCCCTGGAATTGATAATAGCTCATTCTATAATCAATCACAATCCTGATGAGTACTTCTGTGAACCATCCAGGTTTTCTGACTTAATTGCAAACACTGCTACTTACTGAACTTAAGCTTCTGGCTTCCATTCCAGTTTTCTGCATTGATGATGTTGTGGTAATAGAGGCATTCCTAGGTGGTTTTCAAGCCATTTAGCTAAAGCAAGAATGAATGGCCAATTCATCAGACCACAAAAATAATTCTTAACAGTCTTTGCTTTATAGGACTGAAGCTACTAAATCTCCATGAACTGGTTTTAAGAACAGTAATATAAGCATGCTACAGCAACTTGTCATAATCTTAAATAATTTTGCAGGTAGTGCATGCTTTTCCTGTCCACTGGATGATTCAGAATCTTTGTGAAAAAGCCTTAATTTTCTCTCATTGTATAAGGTCATACAAAAATGTTTCTAATGGGTCTAGTTATACTACCCTGTTATTGCCATAAGAAAGTCTTGAATGAGTTTTTGCGGTCGAACACGCACAGGCTTTTGTACTAAAATTATTAACTAAGGCTAAGAAATCTAATTTAGATGACATTACCAATCATGTGCATATTTCCATTTTTAAGTGGCAGGTAGGGGTCATGAGCTGTAGCCCAGGCTAAGACTCCAGACTTGCTGGTAAGTTCAGTTGTTGGTGATCTTGCTGGTGGCTGTGGAGGCGTGACCAGCTTCCCAGCACCGGTTCCTTAAAAAGAAGCAGCTGATCAGCACATAAACATCACCATGACTTAACAAACCTGACAGTAAGCTTTGCAAAAAAGTAGAGGGAGTGTAGAATGAATGCAAGATTTGGGGCAAACTTACCCAGCTTCATAGCTACTGTTTGTCAAGCCTGACCATGGATTTATAGCATGAAGTATTACATTTAAGTCATTATTGGAGGTGGCTGCAGCTTGCTATTTCTAGTTCTAGGGAAAGTCTGACATTCTGAAGTACAGTTTTGTCCTAGTCCAGAAGGTAGGACTGTCCTTTCACTTCCACAAGTGCAAGCAGTTTCTTTCAGAAAACATCCGAACAGCACACTAGATGGTATCTCTAAAAGAAAATAATTTCCTGACACTTTGGCAGCCATGCCGTGGAATTACCATTATTCTTGTGCATTTCACTGAGGAATTGCAAGAGCTGTCAAAGTTTACATCTTCTGGGCAGATGTACCACAGGAACTGTGTAAGGGGAGGGAGCCCAAGGCCTCCCAGTTAGCAGCCTCTCAAAACTGCTTCTCCCCCTGGATAACCAAGAGAAAGTCAGGCTAATTTCATGGAAATCTCAAAGGTTGAACCACCATGAGAAAGAGGCACCTCAATAAACTAACAGTTCACCAGACAGTTCTTGAGCAGCATTAATCACCCTCACGAAGCACCTGATATGCTGTAGTTACACAGCCTTTCCCATGGCTGCCAAAGGGAACCAGTAATCTTTCTCTCCACACGTGGCTGCTTTAAAATACAGGGTACAGAACATTCTCTTCAGATGCTCCTTATTAAATAGCTGTCTCCATTTCTCAAACCCACACAGATCTAGGCTCATTTTTTGAACTCTCTGATTAAAGTTCCTTCTGCTGTCTCCTCAAGGAAACACTATCCTCACTTCCCAAGTAGTCTGAGAAACGTTTGGCCCTGCCACCTTGATAGTGGGAGACTCTGGCTGCTCCTCTGTTGAGAAGCAGAGGGCTGCATCCATATTTGCCTTTGCTCATCCGTGGCTGTACCAGCCCCTCTTTTGCTTTATTCTCTGCTGTAGCATTTCCCAGCCATTGCCAGTGTTGCTCCAGACTGCGGGGGTACAGCAGGGGAGGGGTGTCAGGGGTAGGCTGACACTCGAGCTGCCCAACATCGTGGTGTACCGTCAGCTGCCCTGCCAGAGGCTGTAAAGAGGCCACTATGGAGCCCCCTTGCTTCACTGCTGGAGACACACCAATGCCAACACAAAAGCAAGAAGCAGCCCAGCGATCCCAAAATGTTGCTTCCACTCCTCACCGTGTTGCTTCCAAGAATCACAGATGAAATTACACGGCACGCACGCCCAGTGCTAGGAAGAGCCTGACTCTCTCGGGCTCCTTACACGCTGTGCAACCTACAGGCTTTCCTGCCACACGGTGGACCTCGCCGTCCTGCTACGCGTGCTCGCCATCCCCACCCCTCCGAGCTCTCCAGCCGCCGCTGCGACCTCCGCCGGTGGCCAAAGGGAGAAGCCGACCTCCCCTCTTCCAAGGTGCCGCTCTCACCTGCCCCGCGGCCGGGTCTCTTCTTCCTGGCTTCGGCTGCGGGCTGAGGGAGGCCGGGGGTGGGAGGGAGCGGCAGCGACTGGATGCTGCTTGGCTTATGGAACTGCGACAGCAGGTGGGGGGACTTGGGGGGCAGCGGCGGGGGCACGTCAGCGCCGCCGGCAGCGCTGTTAAAGCCCTCATCCCAAATTAGTAACACCAGTAGCCACCTGCTGCAGGCTTAGAGCAGCTGCTGCAGGTTAAGATGTGCTGTGCGGCCACTCTGGCAAGTGTGGGCCATGATGCCATCGGAAGGGTTGAGGACCCCCTGGAGTAAAAATAGATGTGGGTCAAATACTATGCAAAGTCATCACTGTTGTGCAACATCTCAGGCTTAGAAAAAGCTTCTTGCTTATCATAATTGCTGGTCTGATTTTACCCTGAGCCTTATTAATGTTCCAGGACATTGCTGTGTCACCTAAGTTTCTGGGAAATATGTCATACCTCTGGATGCTGGCTTGAAACTGAAAATGCCTGCCCCTGCCCTTCTCTGCAGGACACATTTCACCTGCCCCGTCCCTCCCAAGCCACTTGAGCAGGGCCCTGTCTGATGGCTCTGCTCCTGCGCTTCTGTTCGGCTTTCATGCACCCTTCCCTGCCTTATCCATTTGTGTGCTCCCAACTTCATGCTGTCCTGGGTTTAATTTTTGTTTAAGATCTTCGTTCCTTTAATGACAGCGGGAACCGAACGCGGTTCTCTGTGGGGGCTGTGGTGTGCGGCTGTGCTTGAAGTAATGAGACTTGATGAAAACCTCTTGTTACTGTGGCAAGATTTCTTCCTTCTCTGCGTTTAAGAAAAGGGGAGGGGGGGAGAAAAGAAAAAGTGACAGACCCTGCTGGGTATGTTAATATATTTTTAATGGCTTGCATGTGGCTAGCTGAAGACTTATTTGTCCAGACTGGGAGAAAAGTGGAGCAGTGTGTTATTCCTGTGCACCTTTTACTGAGCTTAGCCAGGAGTTGAAATGGG